TCATTTAAAATTTAGAGCAAAACTTAAAACTTCCGACTTATTCATTTTTCTTCGTATTCATTTTATGATTGTTTGTTGTACAACTTTCCTGGTAGCTCCCAAGGTTTCTTCCTCTCAAACGTAACCATCTAGGGAGTTTTTCCTTAACACATTAGCATTCAGGCACAAGTTTCAGCAACACTTCTTTGAAACACAGTATTTATTGTTAAAAAGTGCTATGCTAATAAAACTGACTCAACAGCTGTCTTTTTTTATGAATGTATCATAGGTTCTCTCCTGTTGTTAAGTATTTTTGTAATAGTACTTCATTATTAATAAGTATTGATAAATAACAATATTTTTTTTTTGCGTTTTGCATTTATGTTTTTAAATATCTTGTGAAAAAGTACAGTTTTGCATACCTTTAATAAGTGTACTTATTATAACATAGTTCATACCTTAATAAAACAGAGGAGAAACTGCATTATACTATTTCCCTCTCTCTTTTGTCCTCTCTCATATGTACAGTCAAACATAGACTCACCAAAATCAAGGCCAGCACTGAGAAGATGTAGTACAGCGAGTCTCTGAACAGAGACCACCAGGTCAGGACCACCGTCTAGGGCAGAAATTGACAAAAGACACAAGAAACTGTGGCAAAATGCGTCAGTTGTTTGTTCAATGTGATTCCAATGAAAAAAGGCTAAACTAACTCTTTTAAACTAACTCTTATCATTAATACTATTTACCTCCTTTGATACTTTGATAGATAGACAGACAGACAGACAGACAGATAGATAGATAGATAGATAGATAGATAGATAATGTCTACCTGACGGGCAAAGATGCCACACACTCCAATTATGACCAGTATGTTGAAGACAGCTGACCCAACAATGGTACCGACGCCAACATCTCCCTTTGTGATAAACACACCTGCCAGTCAAGCACAAGAATAATGGTCACAGATGCGATAGAGTCAAAATCACATTAATCATTTAACAAATTGCACATTTTACTGTGTGGTTTAAATTTTGAAATCAGAGGGCTTGGTCAAATATATTAATATTCACCCAAGAAATGCACAGTTTGGCCATTTAACCCTATAAATCCTTCTGAATCGTTTTTGATACACACATCTCTAAATATCTAAATTATTGGCATGATCAAAACTTTGATGTTAAAACTGTTGCACACAATCTACCACATTCCTTCTGTCATCTGATTGATAGTTCATACTTTTTAGCAAGTAAAAGTTATTTTAGTATAATTGTACAAATGTCCACCTTCAGCTCATGACTCAAGCCAGAAACAGCTGGCTGAACAAATAACTGAAACAGAGCAACAGTACCCGGACTCTCTTTTAATCACTCTTGGAGATTTTAACAAATCAAATCTTTCCAAATTTCAAAATACAGTCATCGCATGCAGGGTGGAGGCGAGCAAGTCGCGAGGCATGTATAAGGACGGGAGGCATGCATGATTCCCCCATGCATTTTGTGGCACTGCAATCGCACTCTCCTCCTAGGGAATATATGCGCACTTCCAGGTGGCCCCACCATCAAGGGTAGTGAGGGTGGAGCAGGCTGGGAAGCAGCTTCGGGCAGTAAAAAGGTGCCTTTCATGACTTTGTTACCTCCCCCATGCACTTCCGGGAAGAATGGCAGCAGAAACCAATAATCCAGCCGCAAACCCTCGGGGCAAGGCCAGGGATTCCACTCCAGCTAGATGCTCATGGCGGCCCGGGAAAGTACGGCCATTAATTCTGAGTCAGTCTCCGACTGAGCAATCAGCCCAAAGGGGTGACGCTGACCTGAACCTTCATCCTCAGAGGACATTGGCTCACCCTCCAATGCAGTGATCAAAATCTGATCCTCCTCGGGAGCCCTGAATAACACATAAGATCGGCATCACTTGGGAGCTCGAACAGCACGCAACGCGCAAGAGGAGCGGGAGATCTGTGGGGACTGACCTTGTGGAAAACTTGCGCTATAATCCTCTGATCTCCCAGAGTGCTAGTCAGCGTGAGGCTGAGTTGCAGCAGAGGGGACTCAAGCCTTCACGAAGAGGGCAAGTAGTGATCACAGCGTCGCCATAGTTATGCTCTCACAACGAGAGCATAAACCATCCACAGTTTCAGCATGCTTATTAAATGTGGCCGTCGGAAGAGGTCAAAAAACAACCACATTCAGAAACGCACGGACGGAGAGGCATCTTTAAAAAGATACTGACCGCCTGTGTTGCTCTTTTAGGGAAAACTACTCTTTTATTTGCTGAAGTGCCCGGGGGGAATCGCTGCACTCATCTGTGCCAAACACTGGAGAAACACTGCTGAATGCACCGTCAGAATCACCAGCAGCAAGAGAGTTTCTGCTTTTCTTCTACTCATTTAGAGATAAATGGAAGAGTGATGGCTCAAACATGGGCAACCGCCCTCTTATTTACGCGTGTGTACAGGGGAGTGGCTGGGCATGCAAATTCCAGTTACAATTCCAGTTTTTTACTACTCAGAGGTGATTGGGGCTCCCAAGTTAGAACATCAGTATCGACATAACGTCAACCATGACTGACTGAAAAGGAAGTAAGCATTCAAATATCATCTTACTAAGACATACTACTGGGAGATATAGTGACAACTGACATTTATATACATTAAGTAGTCGGCTATACTGTTATAAAGATCTAATTGATTTACATTACAAGCATACTTGTAATGTAAATCAATTACTTACTCAAGATGTACTGTAGTACATGCATATCATGCATCTTATGTGAAATTATATCCAGTAAAGTGGAGGTTCAAAGGTTGTGCAAAAGCAAACTTACCAATTAAGGAAGTAAATAATTCGGGAGCTGAACTTCCTGCAGCCATGAAAGTTGCCCCAGCCACATCTTCACTCAGCTGCAGATTCTAATCAAAAGCATCATATAAAAGATTAATCATGAATACTAGCAATAATGCACAACTAATAAAATTCTCTTTGTCCTACACATTGTTTCAAGATATTCGTTGGCGCTCATGGATACCACATCAAATGCCATGTACTTCAACCAATCTTCCCTTGTGAAAAAGAAGTGGACTTAACTGTAATGAATATGCAGATGTAGTGTACTTCAAATCTTAACAGTACACTTTTCAAAAACTGCACTTGCAGATAATATAATATTAATGAAAAAGATCACTTAAAGACACTTTCAAAACTGTTTCTTAACACTTAAGTACACTTTTTTTTAAAAATGTCAGATTAAAAGTTTTACTTTAAAGTACATTTTCAATCATGTTTACTCTTTTGTCATGCTTTTTTGATGTGTTGACTAACTATTATGCAATTACATATAAAGATGTATTTCAGTGGGTCAAAAATCACTCTTAAGTTTAGCTAATTGCCTTTAATATAAATTTAAACTATAATACATTTTCATTTATTTGCAGTTAACAAGCATTTAAATGTCAGAAAACGTTGCATTAAGTTCGCATCTAAGTATATTCTTTTAAATAATATTATTTCCAAAATAAGTATTTTTTAAGTATGCTAAAGTGTACTTCTTTTTCACAAGTGTTCTCCAGTAGCATGAATCTCTGCAGTTTTTACATTAATATTTAAATCTCAACAGCTCTTGACAAATTGTGAACAAAGCCAATTCCCTGAAGGAACGTGAACAAAGAGAATTTCCCAGAAGGCAACACGTTAATTAACACTTTAGCCAGAGTTCATGACACATAGCATCAGTACTGACCCGTGGGAGCAGAAAAACAAGATTGTCATCACTTCATTTTCTGAAGGATAGCAAAAGTAACATGTGCTGTCATTCTTATTCCAGCTGAAATGTCTGACAGGTGGCACTCACCTCAGAGATCTTCTCCAGGGATGGGACAAAATAGTCATCGCAAATGATAGCCAGTGCGTAGAACATATAGACAGCCTGCAATGAGAGGATAGATAGATAGATAGATAGATAGATAGATAGACAGATAGATAGATAGATAGATAGATAGACCAATAGATAGATAGAACGATAGATAGATAGATAGATAGATAGTTAGAACAATATAATGATAGAACGATAGATAGATAGATAGAACGATCGAACGATAGATAGAGCGATAGAACGATAGATAGATAGATA